AATGGAAAAATATACACTGCCACTTTTTCATTTGCTCGTTTTATCGATCCGAGTAGCGCGTGGCGAGTCGCACCCCGGAGACTTAGCTGTTGGCCAAGGCTAGCGACTTATCGTCTCTTTCTCCCTCTCTCCCTCTCTCCCTCTCTCTCTCTCTCACACACACACACACACGCACACACTCCATCGATAGGATGAGCAAAAACGGAATGAATCTTCCGCTGAAACGTGGAAATATACACGGCCACTTTTTGAATTGCTCGTTCTATCGATTCGAGTAGCGTGTGGCGATGCTCGGGTTGGGAATTATCCTCCCCCTCTCTCTCTCTCTTACACACACACGTACATACGTTCATGTACGCATGCATGGCTACGCACGCAAGCTGGCATAAGTAGTGTATTACTCCCGAGACGTAGCATTAGATTCAGTCGTTCTTGTTTGTCCTACCGATCGAAGCTCCGAGGAGTCCATCGTAGCACATTCACGCACGTACACGCAACAAACGTGGTAGTGTATAGGCAGTGTATATTTCGATGTCCTAGCGGTAGATTCATCACACACTAGGATATGCATACACGCCAAGATACAACAGTGAAAATTCGTTCGTTTTCTGAGGAGGTAGCTGGAGGGCAGTGGAGGGGCCGGAGGCTTACCTCTCTCCTTCTTCTCTCCAAGTTCGATTGGCTTTACGCTGATGCGCCCTCGCCTCGTAGGTAGATGCTCGATATTCTCCTTCTTATCTTCCTCCTTCTCCTCCTCCTTTTTCCTCTACTCTCTTCCATTCGTTCTTTTCTTTCTTTGCGCCTTCTCTCTTCCCTGATTGGCTTGATACTGCGCACTTCTCTGCCTCGCCGCTAAGACTAGGTACGTTGGAATGAACGCGCGCGCAAACAGGTCGAGAAGCAGGATCGTCCACTCTCTATCTCTTTTCTTTCTCTCCTTCTTCTTTTTCTTCTTCCTCTCCTCCTTTCTTCCTTTTCCTCTCCTTCTCCGTTTCTCTGCACATTCCTTTTTCGCTCACTCGCATGCACCTTTCACTTGAGCCTTTTCCCGGTACCCTTTCTCTCGCTTTTTCTTCTCTACGTTGCGCCTCTTGTGCCTTTGCTATGCCGCACCGTACTTCTCGGCGGCCAAGTCCTTCACAACCTCGACCGGATGAGCTATTCGAATGAACCTATTCTAGTTTCAGCGATGTATTCGTGAAATTGAATCCAAGAAGAAAAACACGGGGTTCAGAAGAAGAAAAATTAGTTAAACAACGAAATCTATCTTAAAAGAAAAATAAAAGAAAAACAAAAAGAAAACTTACTTTTAACTACCCCGTCGTGACAACTGTCTCAACGGGGTCTAACTGTACTTGGTTCCAATCCTGAAGTCACGGGTTTGAATCCCGCCCACCTGTGGGCGGGCGGAAAAAGGCAGGCCTCGCCCCCCATAGCTAACAAAAGGAGCTAGCCCAGAGGCAAGTCGGATTCGATCCCAAGACACTCTACATATCAGTTAATACCTGTACCTACTGGCTAGCTCCATGTTTGGTTTTACTAGGAGTCAGTCTGCCCTAAGTAGAGTACAGGGCTTAGTCCATTCAGTTCAGAAGGTCTACGGCCTATCGTAAGGGGAAACCCAGGCCACAGGTGGCAATCGCAGCCTGTTACAGCAGGTTAGGCCCCCTTTATTTAGTTGCCCCGGCCACATGGTCGGGGCTTTTACTAATTTTTACCTTTATTATATCCTGCGGGGAGTGGTTTCCCGCCCCGCTTTTCCGATATACTTGACGTCGGCGGTCTTGAGCTGGTCATACTTCCCCAGTCGTTAACTTGACTGAGGAAAATCGTCGCCGCGTCCCTCGTGATCCTTTCCGTTTTAACTAACCCTCCGTCCTTAGTGGTCGGAGGTCTTACTTACTAACTATTTTGCAGTCTCCGTGCGTGCTGGAATGACGTGCGCGGTCATTTCATTAACTAACCTCTGTTGTCTTTGCATGCTCTGCGAGCATTCGAAATTTTTGAACCCCTAACTTTTGTCCGCGTGTGCCGTGTTTTGGCCTTTGCAGTTTCTAACTTTCATGACCATAATGGTCGAGGGTTTTACCATAGTTTCTGTTTTTAGCCGTCCCCATTCTAACAGTTGGTGTCGACATTGTGTCGACTGCAAAATCATGAACGGATACCTTGGTAAGGGTATCAACTCCGACAATCTTCCCAGACCCCATTAAGCGACGTCCCCGTCGCTGGGGAATCTATATGCAAACAAAGGTCTTCTGACGCGACAAGTTGTCAAAATCCGATTTCCTGGATGAAGTTGTGGTTTGAAGTCTCTCACTATCTCCCTTGGTGCGTCCATACTGCCAGGATTTCAACCTGGGTCTCCCACATACCAACAGTTGCAACACCAAAGAATTATTACTCCATATGACTCAAAGTGGGGTTACTGGATCTGTGCTACAATTACAGAGGTCACCAAGGAAGATGATGATAGCCTCTCCCCTCAACTTTAGACTTTATTGCCAGGATCTTGTTGGGTGTCCTCTGAATTAGGGATCATGTCGGAACCCAATCATTTAGACGCGGATCTTAACCTAAGTCATCTTACCGTCCCACTCGAAGTATAATGCAAGGGGATCGGCGACCTCGGTTTCAACCCACCACAGTCAGTTGATCAGGCCGGATCTGCGGCCCACCGTGTTGTTATTCTAACGGTGGTACCTGTATAGGTTACGCAATACAGGTTAAAATCCTCCTATCATAATATCTAAACCCGACTCTTGATCCCGCCAATATCAACCTGAACTGATTCCCTCATTAGGGAGGGTCTCCCCTTAGGTTTCAAGTTCTAGGCCGTAATCGGAAGGCCCGCTCACTAGTTATAATTGGTCAGCAGCCCACACTGGGAGTTACGTCCCAACGATGTCAATTTTCCACCATAGGCTTGGTGACTCTTTGTCCCTCAGACTGACCACCTGAAGTGGATGATCAATGATCTTTTCAAATATATAAAAAAAATCAATTTGTCCAAAAAAAAATTCCCCCTCGTCAGCCATCTTTCAAATGGGCGATCGATCCCATTATTCAAAAGAAAATAATGTCATTGATAAGAATGATGTAAACATGATTATATCCGTTTCTAAACGAGGGGCACCGTCAGAGCCACTTAGGGGTCGTGTTTCCCAGACCTCGATCACAGGCTGGATAGACACACGTCTCGGGGATCTTTTAACCAAGAGGAAAGCCAACCATAATATCCATAAAAAGTATAAAAAATATTTGTTTGACTCCTTGTCTTGTCAGAAGGCAAAAGAAACATTCATTCCATTCATAACATATATCTCCCTGACTCGCAGGGATTTTCGGATGCATCAAAATAAAATTATTCACTTTCTCACATTCCCTTTTTAGGGTCTTTTTTCGGAAATAGCTACATAAGACAAAACATGAAGAGATTGACATTTACAACAAGACATTCTTAAGATGTATAAATCAATACATATATATCAATCATCATTTCTTGAGCACTTAGGTGCTTTTCTGAGCATCCTAGTTCAAGATTTTTAATGACACAGTTTGTATGTAAATTCAACATGCATGACCAGATAATGGACAAAACGCAAGTATGAAAGTGAAAATGTAATTCCGGTGGTATATCCCATAGACCAATAAAGAAAAACTCATATGTATAAATTACAGAACCATCGGTTTCACTTTTTAAAATACAGAATGTCGATCCAACAAGTCTTCTCCTAATGTTAATAGTCAAAAAACAAACAGAGTATCCAACATATATCTACACACCTTACCTAGAATTTATTTGAGTAAGTAGCCGACTCACTTTAACCCTTTCTCTTACTATTATACAATGTCAAAAAAAAAAAAAAGATCTCAACCTCAAAGACTGGTAATGTTTTACTCTAAATTCATAAAGTAAGCCTCAACTGCTCGTACAACTGTACTCTGAATCCCTTCTTACCCTTTTTGATCAGGTTACCTTCTCTATCAATAAGTCTGTCACTCCCATCAAGACTGACCAAACCTTTGTCCCTGTCTTCCTGGAAACCAGGACATTCTTCCTTTCTGTGGGCACCTTTCATGCAATACCAACATAATCGTTTTTTTTTCTCCCCTTGTCCTTTTTGTTGCCCACTGAGGGTCAAGAGAAGCTTCCCCAATTTCTCCATCTCCCCCTCCTGAAGCCAGTACCTCCATATATGATCTTTTTTGTCCTTTTCCATCATTTAACTTGGACAGAGTAAGAGTTATGTCCCCTTCCTGCACTTCCTTTTCATCTTTCAATCCTTCTTCCCTTCCTGTCAATTCCCTTCTTTTCCTTCAAGTCCCTGGATGTTTTCTATCTCTTTCTTTGCTTGGATACTCACCTTGGAGTCTTTCATGGCTTCTTCCATCTTCTTCCACCTTTTCTCCCACTTTTCACTCTCTTTCTTCCTCTCTTTCCTTTCAGACTCAATCGTCTTATTTTGCTCACTAACTTTTACTTTCAGCCCTTCCACTTCCTTTTCCAGCTTCTCCCTTTCTGTTTCCATTTCCCGACTCTTAGTATCATGAACGATTTTTAGGGCTTCCACCTTTAACTCCAGCTTCTTCTGCTCAATTTTTCCCTTCTCCACTTCGCTCTTCAAATTCTCCACTTCCTTCCCCAACTCAGTCAGTTGTGAATCCCTCTTTTCTTCTCTCGCCCTTAGCCTCAAAATTTCTTTAAGGATTTCAGAGATTTGGCTGGCTACTCCCTGCGTGAGCAGCTCCTCCTTTTCCTTTACCCTGTTATGAAGTTTTTGCATCGAGGATTTCAAATCATTTTCCCTTTCTTCCCTTCTCCTTCCTTCTTCCACTTTCACCAACTTTTCGACCATATCAGCTTCTTCTTCAAGAACCCATTCACAATCCTCTCTGATCATCTTATTGAGCTTAATTAGTCTGTCCACATTTGAGGCCAGTTTGGAGCTGGCCACAGCCCAGACAAAACTGTATCTTTCATCCTCACTTTCCAGGGAGCGTTCATGGACGGCTAATTTTCCCTTAAGTGAATCACGACGTGGTTCCTCCACTTCCTGTTCTCGTCCTCCTTTCTCTACCTTTCTTCCTCAGTTAACCTCCTCGTCCCATGGTCTTTGAGAGGCTCCATGGAGGATGTTGCTTCTGCTCTCACTAATGGTCCTGCCTCCTCCATCTTTCGCTCTTTCTTCTCCTTTCTCTTTTCTTCTCTTTCCTCTTCTTTTTCTTCGGGAGATTTGTCCCGTCCTTCTTCCTTCCTGGCTATACGTCTTTCCTTCCCCTGCACCTCAGGCATCTCCATGTTACGGATAATTTTTCCTTCTCCCTGTCGAGGGGGTGTCTCATTCCCATTTTTCCGTTGAGTCCTTTCCAATTCTTCTTTCCTTCTTCCAATTCTCACCCCTTGCTCCTGGAACAACTGCCTCTTCTTCTGCCTCTGTATGCTCAGATGATAGGTCTTTCTCATCTCAACAAGAAAGTCCCCCCAGGTATCTGACCCTTCTCTGATCTTTCTGACAGTCTCGCATTCCCTGGGTATTACCCTGATCGCGGCCTGCTCCATTTTTTCCTCATCATCCCATCTGTTTTTTTCTGCACAGAGACCGATGCTATCCTCGAAATCCTCCAAATTTATTTCGTCGAAAGTGATGTTATCTTCTATTTCATCTCTTCTCAAATCTGCATACTTGGCCCACATAGCTACTTTGAAGCTCGGCCATCCAAAAACTCTCATGGCCATTTCCTTCATCGCCTTCCTGCATTCTCCCACTCCAACCACATTTTTCATCATGGTGGGCACATCCCATTCTCTGATGAAAACGTGATTTTCATATTCCCTCAAAAACTGCCTCAGGCTATCCCCTTTCTTGTAAACCGGCATTCCCGCAGAGTCTCTTGTTACCATTGGATGCCTCAATCGTTCTTCCTCTCCAGGAATAGACCTGGTATGACCCACCATCCCTCCCTTCTACGACACGACAACTGCTCCCTTAGGGTCAAACCTGCACACAGAAGAAAAGAGATTTGGAGGGACAGGTAGGACGATGAGTCAGCCGATGGTTAACAATAGAATATTTTGCAAGGAAAAACATTTTTAAAGGACTTCACAAGATAACAACTTTTTGAATCAACTCACCTCCGGTCTTAGCTTGAATTTCTTCAGCCTGGACCCAGAGATCCAGTCATTCCTTGGTATCCCATCCATTTCTTCCAGCTCGTAGGCTCCATAATTTCCTCGACGCCTGACCTTGTAGGGTCCCAGCCACCTCTTGTCCAACTTTCTTGACCATTGTTTTTCCAGAGACGAGTCGTAAAGTAGCACTACGTCTCCAATTTTCAATGACTCTTCTCTTACACGTGGGAGCTTATCCCATTTCTCCTTGTCCTTCCCTCGGCTGTCTGCCACTCTGTCTGTCGCTTCTTGGATTCTATCTTCCGTGATGCTCACTTGCCTTTCTCGAATATCCAGTAATTCCTCTAGGGATATGTCATTTTCCAGATCTTGCTTTCGCCAAGTCTTTAGAAAGTTCTCCATTGGAAAGGTGGCATGTCTTCCATAATACAAAGTCGTAGGAGCATATCCTGTGGTTCTCTTGACCGTGATGTTTTCCACAAAAAACACCGTCCGTAGAAACTTAGGCCATAAGTTAGGCTTCCCAGCAGTCCACTTAGCCAGCAGCAGATTAGTGATGGTGCTATGCCCTCTTTCTACTGGTGCATTCGCTTGAGGGTGTGCCTTGGACGTGTATTTGGAAATGACCCCGAGATCATCCAAAAGTTTTTTTACCTCCCCGCATGTAAACTCAGATCCTCTGTCCATTGTGAATTCCACCACGAAAAGATATCGGAGGTAATATTCTTTGATACATTCAGCCAAAACTGCCCCAGTCTTGGTTCGAAAGACTTTCCCATCAACAAACCCCGTAAGGTTATCCCTAGCATCAAAGATATAGTTATATCCCTCAATCCCTTGCGGCATTGCCAAAAGATCCATGTGAATCACTGCCCCTACATCTTTAATGTACCTTGGATGTAAATGCTCCTTCTTCCTGATTGGTGATCTGATTTGGCATGGTACACAAGATTCGCAGTAAGTCCGGATCATCCCATACATTCCTTCCCAGAAGTACAACTCAGATATCTTTTTGACTGTGGCAGCGAAGCCTCTATGACCACCTACTGGCCCATCATGGAGAGCTGCTATGACGTCAATCTGACGATTTCTGCCACAAATGACCCTCCCAGGAGGCGCACGCTTATCTCTGATAAAAATATGTTATCCTCGTACTATATAGTGATCTCTCATGCGAAGGGTCTTTTTACTAACCTCTCTTTCTCGCTTGTCCCCTGAGAGAAGAAGTCCCATCTCCAAGTGGAACCCGTCATACTCCACTTCACGAAAATCTTCCGGGATTTCACCTTGCTCAAACTCTTCTCCCTCCAATTCCTCACTGTACTCGTAGTCATCTCCCAATACTATCTCATCTAGCTTTACCACTTCCTCGCCATCCTCTGCCTGGACCTGTAGGAGAGAGTTAACAAGGTAATGTACTCTCCCCATTGTCAGCAAGTGCTGATCAGCTTGTCTCATTCCAGCCTCAATTGTTACCGGATCGTCTGTCATAGGATAAGTCTCTACCAAGGCTAGTTTTGTCATCCATTCTCCATTCCTTTCTCCCCATGAGTCCTCCTCAACGAAATATTTCAACACTAACCCTTCGATGGGTTTCCCTCTCCTGGCCTCCTTATCGTTAATACTTAGCTCCCATGAGCTCACATGGAGCTGCATATCGTCTTCGTCCAAAAATCTATCTATCAGTGGTGCTTCGTCTTTGGACTCTCCAGGCTTTTCCCATTCTATCCTGCTCAAACATCGGCCCTGTTCTTACTTCCTATGATATGTTCCAGCTGAAAGTCGAACATCAAGATGTACGTGAGCCATCTGGCGATCGTGGGATTTGTAGGCGTGAAGTTTTTGAGAGAATACATAAGCGCTCTTGGATCTATCCTAAAAACAAACCTCCTCCCGTAGAGGTAATGCCTGAAGATGCGCAAGCAGTGCAACACTGCCAAGGCATCTTTCTTGAATTGAGAGTAGTTCCTTTCAGTAGTGTTGAGGGTTCGACTCTCAAATCGCAATGGTCTTTCCTTTCCTCCAGAATCAGCCTGTATCAGAACTCCTCCCAGGGCTGTTGGTTCAGCGTCGATTTCTACGATGAAGGGCCGTTCAATAATGCCATCATAGTCTGGAACACCCAGCACAAGACCCCCTTCCTCAAATTCCTTCTTCAAGTCCTTTACCACCTGTTCCTGCTTCTCCCCCCATTCCCATTCTTGATTCTTCCTTACCAACTTCGTCACATGTTTTGTCTTAGCGACAAACCTTTCAATGAACACTCTTCAGAACCCACACGTTCCAAGAAAACATCTCACTTCACTGACGTTCCTGAATGGCGTAGGCCATTCAAGGATCTTATTTGTTTTCTTGGTGTCTGGACGGCGTCCTTGTTCATTGCATAGGAAACCCAAAATGGTGGCTTCCTTCATGAAGTGTTTGGATTTTGCTTCACTGGCCGTGAGGTTGTACTCTTGTAATAAGTCAAGTACTTTTCTGAGATCATTGACATGATCCCAGACAAACTTCCTTATGCCAGGTGCAACTTCTTGCTCATTTTTCTTCATTGATCCTTTTACCGCAAGGTCATCAATATAAAGCTCAGTAATTTGCGGGCTGATCGGTTGCATGACTCTTACCATGCTCCTCAGCACCATGGCTACTGCGTTTGTCCATCCCTGGGGTGCAACGTTCATATGAATCAACCCTCTGGGAGTGTGCATCGCAGTGATTGGCCTATCAGCCGGATAGACTGGAAACTGGTCGTAACCAGAATCCAGATTTATGAGCGAAATAATAGCCCTTCCTGCACATGCCTCAGAGAGCTGATCTGCGTTAGGAAGCCCACCAGCATCCCTAACTGTTACAGCGTACAATTTCTGCAGATCCTGCACCCATCTAAGCACTCCGTTTGGCTTAATAAAACAGAACCATGGTGATGCGTATGGTCCGCTAGAGTACCCTGCCACATGCGATCCAATATTCCAATCCAGATACTTCACTACTCTTCTTTGATCATCGGGGTTTGGGTATCTGGCCCCTCTGACATTTCATGGTTGGTGAGGGACTGTGTGGATTCGGATCATTCCTACCCTATCCACATGTAACCTCCCCCTCTGATCATCATTGAAGGCATAGGCGCGATGCTTTTCCTCCATCAAACTCGATTCCCCAATAATCAAATCCCCCTTTGTCTCTTTGTTAATTCTGCAACTCTCCTCATCCCATCTCTCTTTCATCTGCCTTATCAGTTCCCTCTCTTGTTCGTAGTACACACCCTCCTTGTGTGTTACTAGAACTGAAATTGGGTGACTTTTCTTATCTACTGTCTTGTACCTCCTTTTGCTTCCTTGCTTGAGCCCACCCCTAAAAAATGCTGACCGCTTGCTTGAGCATACGGCCCCTGCATTCTTGCTTCTTGTGTGGATGGCGGCTTGTAAACCAGTTTCAACTTTCCCCCTTCAGGGTAATCATATAACTTGTCTGCCAGAGCTTTAATCGCTTCTGGTTCCGCCATCTCATAAGCGGAGACCATATACATAGCTTAGTCAATGTTTACCAAGCTTAAAGCTAATCCTTCATTCCCCTCTCCTTCATGTTCCTCATCAGACCCCCACTCCAACTCTTTCCTCCTTTCCTCTGACTCCTCAAAGGTATATGATCCCGCATTGAGGCGGTTCTTTAAGCTATGAGGACCTGCATTCTTACATGTGATGACCTCAAAGTTCCTGCACGCTGGGTCACATAGAACCACAAACATGGTCCCATCGTGCTTGTTCATGATGAGAGTCTCCGAGCGCGATAAAAAAAACCTTCCTAGTAATATAGGAAGATCCAAGTTGGGCATGATATAAAAACAAAAACGAACCTTTACTCGCCCAACTTCCACCATCACATTTGATGCTCTGCCAGTATATCCTGACTTTCCACTTTCCCCATTAAAGTATCCACAGTCTCTCTTGTCAATCTCCAGTCCCAACTTTTCAGCTGTTTCCGAGTTCATGATGTTCATCTCTGCTCCTGTATTTACCATTCCCAGACAATCTTTTCCCCTGATGTTAACATCAATGGACCCTGCTCCTACTGACTTCCAGTCCATTTTGCTGCCAGCAATCGTCGAGTTGGCTTCTCTGGGGATCAAGTCTCCGAGCCTAACTGTTGCCACTCTTTTCCTTGCCAGCTTAGCCTTGACCAACTCTCTGAGTTTTGGCGCTGTTGCCAAAATCTCTTTCAGGTTTAGCAACTCATTGTGTCCCTCGAGAAGTTTGTTTACTAAATTCTCGAGGTCCATGCCTTCTTCAATTGAGGTTTGGTACCTCCACTTCTTCTTCGATTTCTCCCCAACCTTCTCCTTTCCATCATTAGTCTTACGCTTTTTGGCCCTCTGCTCTGTGCGTTGGTTCTCTTCTCCTCTAAGCACCTCATCCTGGTCCTCCTTATCTTCTCCTATATCGATTGAGGCTTTTGCCTGAGGTGGCAAAAGATCCTGAGCCGGTTCCTTGGACGTATTACCCCCCTTTGGTTTTCGCGCGGTATGGGGAGTATAATTCCTTAGTGCTCGGTAAGCTGCGTCTGATCCAGCGGTCAGAGTTGCTCGCACTGCTCTGGCGTTGGATGCCCTTGACTCGGAACCTTCTCTTCCTTGACTCATGGCGAAAGCCTGTTGGGTCTGAGTCGCCCTCACGGCTCTGACATTGTGTGCTCTTGGCTCGGAAGCTTCTTTTTCCTGTCCCATGGTGAATACATGCGGAATGCTCATTTCCAAGTCTTTAACTTCTCTACAGATGTCTGTCATTCTTGTGTTTAACCTTCTTATCTTATCCATCAGGTCTTCCATCCTTCCCATAACTTCCTTTGATGACTCCTTTACCTCGTTGTCTTCTTCTGGCTCAATCTCAATCATCGGGACATCTTCTTTTTCCTTACTTATTCTCATTCTTTTTCCTAGCTGATTACTCAACTCATCAATCTCCTGTACCCAAACAAACGAGTTCTTTTTCTCCTGCTATATGCGAAACATGGCTGGCCCACTGGGTCCAAGTCCCGCAACTCTGAGTGCTTCCTTTCTAGTGCCTCCTGGAATGTTTGGGTCTATCTGCCTTCCTGTCTTGTCAAATACATCTTCATCTATGCTTGACGTAATTAATCCATCATCTTCATCCATTCTCCTGACATGACACCTTTTTACAATATGTCATCTGATTGTACAGTGAGTGCATATACACTCACTGTAATCTATCCATCCTCTTCCTAATCCCTGACCGTTCCACTGCCCATCACTTCTGCCAAAACCCCTACCATAGTTCTGGTTATAACCTTGGCCATAACCCTGGTTATAGCCTTGATTGAAACCTTGGCCGATTTTGTTGAAGTTCATTTGGTTATAATTTCCTTGTTGAGGGGCCCTTTGATTGCCCCAGCTTCCTCCTTGTCCCCCATTTCCTCTTCCTCCGTATCCTCAGCCTCCTTGGCCATTTCTTCTTCCCCCGTTCTTATTTCTACCTTGTCCTTGTCTGTGTCCTTGCCCCTGAAACTGCTGCTGCCCTTGATTTTCTGGCGGTGCGTGCTGAGGTTGACCTTCACCTCGACCCTGTGAAGGCCCTACTTCCTGCATGTGAGGCATATTTGGTTCATGCCCTGACCATTGATTCTCTGGGAAGTACCCTTGCCAAACTCTTATTGGTGCCGCAACCGGCCAAGGTCCCTTTAGAGATCCTTGGTTTTGCTTTCCACGGCCAGTCTGTCCTCTGCCGGTTCCCTTTCCTCCCGTTGCTTGATTGCGATTTTGCCTCTGTGTCTTCTTTGGTTGGGTTACTGTCTCAGACTTTTTCCCTCCTTCTTCCTTTTCTTCCCCTTCTCCATACTTCCTCTTACTTGTTGCCTGGCCCACCACCATTACAGATTCTGAGTCAACTTTATCTTTCAATTATTTCAGTTGAGTTGTCATACTGCTTAATATTCCTTTTAAGGCTGAGTCAGCCCCTTGAATGACTCCTACTTCCTTTCTCTTCTTCCTTTCCATCTTCACTTGATGGTGGAATACCTGATCCAAATCTCCGGATGCCAGGTTTCTCTTTATTGTTTCCCATGATGTCTTCTTCTCTGGGGCCCCACCTCGGGTCAGTTCTATTGTTTCATATCCGGAGAATTTTCCGAGGAAGATTACACACTGCATTTCTTCGGAAAACCCTGAAACTCTCGCAGCCATCTTTTCAAAAGCCGTTGCAAAGACCCCTATTGTAGTAAAGTCACTTCGGCTAACGTTGTGAAGCTCGTCTACGGTCAACAACCCATTTCCCAATTTGTACTTCCTCTGCATCTCTTTCTTGAAGTTGTCCCAGTTCCCCTGGGCATCGGTTACAATCCTTTCCACATCCGGACGGAGTTCCCACCATACATATTCATATAACTGAGCGAATTTCTCAGCTGGGGTTAAATGGTTGAAGACCTGCTCTAGCAACTCTAGCCAGTGCGAGACCCTTTCTCCTTTGAACGAAAAGATTTCTATTCGGGGTAATTGCGACCGCCTGATGCTTCTATTATCCAGTAACTTAGCGATTTCTGCTGCAGTGATGGACCCTTGTCCAGCGCCATCGCCCATCTTTCCTCAACCTTTGGTTGATCTGTTATCACATGAAAGAAAACAACAAGTCCCTGAATTATTTTCAAAATTTTGCCTTTGCTTATAACTCTCTATCTGCCAATTCTGATTCCATTTCGAGATATAAACGATAGAGAGCCTGGGGCGTAGAGATAGCATATCCGATCTGCGGAATGGTCAAGACGGCCAACGCCGCTCGCTCAACATTGACTTGCCCTTTGAAAGCTTCATCAACGATGAAGTCTGGGAGATCTGCTTTTACGTACTCGGTGGGATAGGAGAAATCTGATGCCCGTTTTGTATCTGTTGTAGATATAATGGGTCGAAGTTCTCCACAACTTGTTTCTCGAACTTTCTCGTTTAAAACGACCTCTGTCATTTGGACATACTGACATATGGGTTGAATGTCTCCAAGTGTCAAATCTACACCATGCATCCTTCATAGATGTACTGAAAGATACAAGGTGGCTCGTACTATTACACTCTCCCGATCTAAGGTATGTCCAGTCTCGACCCATACAAATGTCTTTGGACCGATAAAGACGTCACACGAAGAAGTAATTTCTTCTTCTCTTTCAGTCCATCTCAGGGGTAATGACATATTCAGTCTCTGAGGTGTGCGAACAGGCAATTCAACTTCGAACATTTGAACGACATATGACATCTTGGTTGTTTTCTTGGTACCCTGTTAGAAGAAAGAAAATCAGTGTATCTAAGTGTTAGATTGACAATTTATTCCCTCCTATCTAAACTGTCCGCTTTCTCATACAATTGTATGTAAACTTTCTATTAATTAACATCCTCCCCATTCAGGCAATGATCCTTAATGTTTATCGTTATACTTACCATCACTCTTTCTCAATATCTTATCCAAACCCAATTACCAAGTCATAAGGCCTCGTGCCACTATTAGATACCCCTTTTATATGAGAAGAAAGAAAGTCAGGGTAACACAAATCCGAAATACCATCGGAGGCAGTGGTCTTCTTCCATGGTCCCCGCCGTTACATGCTTTCTTTCTTAGACCTGAGGTTCCCCTTCTGATACCCAAAACGTTCCTTGAAACATCTCCTGTTTCTGGATTTTGCTCATTTATCTCAATTGTCGAGTCCGTCCGAGGGCCCCCAATCTCCGTACCAAAATCCCATGACCATGCCAAAAAGAGAAGGAATATCGTCTATAAAAGTTTCAATACAGACTTCCGTAGGGAGCTTCTTCCAATATGTCATACGATCGTCCAGCCAATAATTCTGTAGATATGCATTCACAATGCATAAGACATCATAGAAATCCCTTTTTGCTATTTTCGGTCGCATTTCCAAGTATAGACAGTACATGATATCAGGCGCTTTAAACTCAAAGCCCCTTTTTGGTACCGATAGTGCCGCGAGTACGGCCCGCTCTACATTCTCCACCCCTGAGAAGGCTTCGTCGATTATGACTTTAGGAAGAGTTGTTTTGACATTTATAGTCGGATAGACGAAATCTTCTGCCCACTTTGCTTCAATTGATCGCAAGATCATTCCTTCTCCTCCCCTATTCACTTTCCGAGAAAACGCTTCGAGTACTGATCCAGCAGTCGGAATATATTTGGAAAGAGAACGATTTTTTCCTATCGCAAGGTCAATTGAGAGCGTCTTCAAAAAAAGTGCAGATAGGTAGATGGTCACTCTTATTATCGCACATCTTCCTCCTGTAGTCTTTTCAGTTTCAACCCATATAAAGGCTTCTGGCCCTATCGAAATTCCACACCATGTGTTCATATCTTCGCCCTTTTCCCATTTCCTTCAGGGTACTGTCATTTCTATCCCTTTGCCTTTTTGTTGGGGTAAGTTAATCGGATAGAACTTAGCAGTGAACCACATTTCCGGAGCCATTTGGTACCCTATTTACACAATACGCAAAAGAACGAACCTTATTTTTAGTTCACTATCTAGTACTCTCTTACTGCAATCTAACCTATACTGATCTCTCCTTAGTTCTAAAAGTGTTTAACTAAAAGAGGATTTATTGCCTTATTCCAACGGACAATCTTAATTTGCCTAGCCGTGAGAGTTAGTCTGTGAGAATAAGTTGATCACTCCCCTCGTCTTGATCAAACCCATATTTTCTTATTCACTCCTTGCCGCTTTGGCATGCTTATTATTAAACCGTCCTTCACCTGTTTTGGAGATGTTTGAGCATTGATCCTTATAAGCATAGTAAGTCATTTTTCTTGGCGACGAAGTGCGTTCACGCCACTCTTCCTGATGTCTATGCGCCCTTAACCCTTCCTCCTTCTCTTCTAGTCCTTCATCATGCTCTTCCTCCCAGTCACCTCGTTCCTTGGTCAAGTCTATGGCTCTATCGGCAACCTTTCCTAGCCTTCCACCTCTTCCTCTTCAGGTGTCAGTCCCACGACCCGTAGGAGCCATATTTAAAGATACGGATATCGTTTATTTATCACAATCCTTTGGGCTATGCGATCTACACTTGATTACTTCGACTTTTTCTCAGAGTTTTATCTCCCTACTTAAAAATAACCCTTTTGTCCTCGTCGATACTTACTAATACTACTATCTTATCTACTAACCTTTATCTTTGTCGTTTTGCCTAAATCATCGACTTACCACACCCGAGTTCGTTCACTAAGGACCTCGGCTGGAAAGAGAGATCTCCCCGGCAATGGCGCCACCTGTCGCGCGTGGCAGTCCCGCACCCCGCCGGGAGCGCTCAACCTCACGGTCCTGTCACGCATGATTTATTTTCGAAGAATCAACTTGTCACCACTCCAACCGTGTGCGCGTGCTATACCTCTCACGACGCCCTGCGACAGGTCGGGACGTCGCGAGGTACAACTTGCCTCTACCCGAGGGGCTGTCACCACCCTCAGGTAGGCGTATCCTTGTTGAGCTACCGACCCACGTGCGAAGGCTTTTACATGGCTGAGTAGAGGTAGGTCGGCCGAGGGCGTTTGCTCGATCGCTGTAGCACTAAATGGGGTACGCTCGGTAAGACACCTAGAACTGACCCGCTACGTATTTCAGGTCGAACTTTTTAATGGTAGTCTACTTCCGCTCTATGCTTTAATTGTCAGATGATCGAACCTGTCCGACTTTCCAAGCTGCTAAGACTCTCTATCCTACTGAACAGATTATGTCACAATTGTTAACAAATAACACAGGATTTATACAAGACCATAATGAGTATGAGAGTATTACCGTCGGGAACCCTTTCCACTGTCACAAGTGCTGTGTGCCCAGGACTCTTCACGATGTCAAGCCCTGATTCAATCCAAACCAACGAACAAAATAGACCTGCACATGATAATGCAAAGACAATCCAGATGTCATGCACTAGTGGAGTCAACCATCAATCCACACCTCAGACTATGTCCCTCACTTCCCAAACCATGTAATGCAGCTCTATCTTTTCCTGAGACATAAGTCGAGCC